TTTTTTTTTTTTTTTTATTTGTCACCCGTCTGTATATATAGACTATAATGAAATGCGAATAAAACAAAACTTAGGAAAAACCAGTGATTAAAATTTAATGTATAATGCCTGGGAATCTTATAATTAATGTCCATTCTAATTCCTTGTTCACTGAAATAAACATTTCGAGTATGCCTTCACCCCGGCCTGAGTGTGGGCTGTCTATTTAGCCTGCTATGAGATAAACACCTCACCTACAGCAGCTAAAACACGTTCCAAAATTAGCGTCCCGAATCATACAGGCTCTACAGACACATTCTGGTGGATTCAGTGGTCTTTTAGAATCTATTTTAGACTCTGTAGTATCCCAAGAAATCACCCGAGTGCTTTGTTTATTGAATCTTTTGGCTTTGTTATCTAGTACCTGGGCTTTTGTAGGGCAGTAACATCTCATCTCTTTTTACAGCTTCCACAGCAACAAACATCAATGTACTCCTCTCTTTTTTTATACACAGAGCATGCTCCAACTCCTGAATCTAAAACATGTCCAGCATTTCACATTTTATCACATCATTTATTATTTTAACACATTATTGAATAGTTAATTGCGAGTTTTTCTTATTCAGTGTTGAAAATGATTACCAAAAAAAGTAAAAAAAATTTAAAAGTTACAAAGGTTAAGTGACACCCCAATCATGGAATCCCTCGTGTTTTATGGATTACTCATTTACATTTTGTATTAATAAACTACCGTGTGCTCATAAACTGCATGAACAGTGATAATGGGATAATGTGGCTTCTTGCAGTAAGCCTATTCAACCCAGCTAACTGCTAGTAGCAGAAATGGGAACATATACAGTAGCTGCTATGTAAGGGTAACACAGCTGGAAAAATCATTGCTAAGTAAAAGCACAAGATGTTACACAACCGTTCTCCGAAGGGAGTCATACATATTTTTCCTTTTGACAATTAGCCTAAGAAATTCATATGTCCTTGTATTTCCTACATTTCCTCCATAATCTACCAACACTGCATGTCTGCATGTGCATGACAATGAATTAGATAACATTCAACTAGATAACAGAATTTGAATTAGATAATGGAAGCATTCAAGCTGCTGATGTTAGTGTTGTGAGACTGTTGCTCACACTAAACAGCCATCCTCAAGATTTGAATATATATGTTTATGTAAAAGCAAGCAGCATCAACAATCATATCACGATTTACATTTACATGCCACACATTTTCAGTGTAAGGTCTTGTTGTTGTGACACACCATGATTTTAAAAAAAATCACGTGGACAGACAACATGCAGTTATTTGTAGGTTGGATTTACTTTCAAACCCTGAATCTCAAAAATCATTCCCTTATTCATTGGTCGCTTAAAATGATTTCATATTAAATGAGTTATGAAATTGGATGGTGTGAACTGTTGAACCTACTATTTAAGTAAATGAAGCCGCTCTTTAACAGCATTTCCAGACAGGTTAGCTTTAGCAGGAAGAGGTAAGCATTATATCTAATTATTGTTATTTAAAATTTTCCATTGCAGTGTAACCATATGCTGGTTTTAAATGGTTTTGGAATGAGAGAGAGATGTATATATAGAGAGAGAGAGAAAGCGCTTTGGTTTCTAAATGTGTTGCAGCTCCCAAGAGCCTCTGTCCTGACCTCCTAAATGACTCTGACTCTATGTTTACACAATGCCTGATGCACCACGCTGTCAGGCCTCAGCGAGAGTGAAGAGGGAATAGCAGTGATTCGGCCCCCATCCATCACTCTGCCGTGGCTGAGACATGCGCTGCCATCTCTACACTGGCCCACACGCCGCTCCCACAACCCTGCTGCTTTCCTCCATTCCCCATTCAGCCTGCATTCTCTTTTCCTCTTCTCATTTCCTACCTTTCTTTCCTCATCTCCATCACTCTTCCTCTGCCTCTTTACCACATTGGTCTCTCCTCCCTTTCTCTTTCTACGGCTGTCATTCACCGAAGGTTTGAAAGGGTCAGTCACGGAGGCAGCTGAATGGAAAAAAAGTCCAATGAGGGGAAATTCTTAGAAAATCTGAACCCCTGCTGCTATTGAGGTGTCAATGATTCTTACATTCATCACATAAATGTAATAAAAATGTATATCTATTTTCTGTATGGATCACAATTCACAGATTTTTGTTTTCAGCAGACAAGTCCATCCATCTAAGTTGTTTTTAGAAGTAATACTATTAGGCTCATCTGCTTGTTAGGAATTTAAGATGAACATTCCAGCTGAAACTACGAGAAGATCTATTATAAGGCAGGAATAAAATACTTTTATATAAGAAAATAATCAACTACAGGGTGATGTGATGCCACTCCACCAAATTGTATTATTTTCCAATACTAGCACCACAGCAATTTGTGTGTGATTACATTTTTTTATTAAATAAAGAATGGCACGTCAT